TCAGCAGGACGGTTGAAAAGTCATTGGCGGCGGTAGCTTCGGGATGGCTAATAGGTGCTGCCATCATGCTGCTGTTTGCTATCGATTCGATATCACAGTACCTAGTGTGCTCTGATCCTTCCCCTTCCCCCACCCCATCCAGACTGCTTTTCTCTAATACTACTACATCCCCCTATAACACGTAAAAAACTGACATGTTATGTTTGTTTCAGAAATATTTGCTTTAAAATGTAAATCAGTGTAAGATACCGATAAACAAACATATCAGCTATAATGTAATTATAAAACTAAAACAATATTGCGTATAAGGATAAGATAAATTAAAGTTAATAGTTGTGATAATCATAGATAAAATCGTATGTATGATATGCAATATCGACAAATAAATCATATAAAAAAAGTAACTTACAATATTTGCATACATAAATGCAGATAATTAGATACTTATAACAAATGATACAACTCTTAGACATGAAACTTCTATAAATAGCATCATATGTGTCACATGTGTGTCTATAAAGATTTAAAACTGTCTTATTAAATAATATCAATACTATTTTTATCAGTTTACTTTTAAATTTTCATTAATTTACTTCTAAAAGTTCAACTAATTTTACACATAACATAATAAAATAAACAAATACATACAATACATATAATTTACATTTACGTTAAGAGTTTAACATTTAGGTTAAAATACATGCATAATTCATTTTAACTGTGAGTTTACAAATGGTATGATATAAAAAAGCCTAAATAACTTATTAGCCTAAATATCTGTAATTTGTATCTAAATACTCACCATGGAATTTTGTACGAAGGCATTTGTTTCTGTAGAAATCTCATGTGAACTAGAATTGTGTGGAAACATTGGGCTCAGTTCTTCTTTGGCAGGCAATGCATAGAAACCAAGATCTGCACATAAAATACAAATATATCTATCACTAATTTAAAACATTTATAAACTTGTATTCTATCATATCAAAATAAATTCACTTACAAATAATATACATAGAAACTTTTCTTTAATAGTTAGATAGTTTAAATAATTAGATAGTACTAAATGTGTAGAACAGAGAATTGCAATTGTTAATAGAGAAAAAACATTAAAAATCATAAATATAAATATAAATGTACAATTAAACAGAAAATATTTACTTTTTTCTAATATAGAAAATAAGTTGTATATAAAAAAATCATTAATTGTGAACACATATACAAAATATGCAAGAAATCACATAAATTTGTAAAATTGTTCTGGCAAGAAACTTTCTTAGATCTAAGAAAGTTATAAAAAGTGAAAAATTATATAGAAAATATAAATATAACAAATCATAGTACCTCGTAAACTAACGCTATCAGTGCGCTCCTAGCTCCATGCCAGTGGAGATCTGAAAGATACAAAATGTGTAGTTCATTATAACTTTGCAATACTTGCTTTTAATGCATCGAATTTGAATAACATGTTGCTTAATAAATTTTAAACCAAAACTTTCTCGGTAAAAATTATCATAGAGAAAATATGTTAAACGGATCTTTTCAATACAACGCAGTTATTAATACAATTTATCTCAATATTAAATATCTAAGATAAAATAGACTTTTTAATACATTTATTAAAATACAAATTTATATATCTAGAATTACAAAAAAAAAGAAAAGATTATCATTTATTTACAATTCTAAAACATAATTCATTGAAATTTTTTGCTTTCAACGCGTTTTATCTCTAAAGAAATCTCACATGAAAATCAATTCACTTCAAACTTGTCAATGGATCTGTCATTAAAATTTCATTCAGTCGAATACTTTGTATATTGACGATTGTGTAAAAACAAATAAACAATAGTTTAACGTCCAAACAAAACACTCCAACTTATCAAACGGAGACAATAAAGCAACAAACATCGACAGTTAAATAAAAATATCGATTTCAAGCACAAAAAAATGGTATCTTTTTATCCTCGTTTTATCAGCGATTGCAGAACTAGCGCAGTTCCAAGTAAATCTACACCGAACGCTCGTCTTTCCAACAGCTCACTGTTGCTATCGATCGGAGCACCTCAAAGCAGCAAAACGAGAAAGAGGAGCGTAAAAGATCCGTTCAAGGTTAAATCTAAGTTGTCTATAGCCAGCCGCAGACCCGTTAGCTGGACGTCGCAGACCCTAACCTAAACGACGTAATTACCGCAATGGCCCTGCTTATCCAATGCCCAAAATATCGCGTACACAACATCCCGTTTCTCTCGCGTGATCCGCGCTTAACTCGATCCGATAACGACGGGCGCGACGGCGATGGGGAAAAACGTTGCGCTACAACGACGTACGATCGTTTGATAACGCGACATTATTTACGTCCGTAAATGCCACCTCGACGCTTCGGAGCGCCTCCGTTTTAAAACGAAGCACTGAGCAGCGCGAATCGCAGCAAACGTCACGCTGGTGTGACTGTGAGGTAACGCGCGGCACACTTCACGGATAGGAGAACAAGCGGAGCTCCGGCGAAGGCAGCGAAGGTGCCAAGCGCGAGCAGCACCAAACAGACAAAGAGAGAAAGATACATATATACATACACACACACACACACACACACACACACACACATATATATATATATATAGATAGAAAAACGATAAAGATGCTAGCACGGAGAACGGAATAGTCGCGAGAAAGAGAGAGAGAGAGAGAGAAAGAGTGACAGGAAAATTTTTTTTATCCGTCGAGAAAAAACATACCTCGAACCGAGCGTCACACATCGGGTCACTCGGGACGATTAATAGACAGTCGATGTCGGATTCTACGTACTCCCCCCTGCCCTCCCCCACCCGCGAGATACATTCGCGAACGAACGTCGGTAGCATCGGCGTAGCCGCGTAATTTCACGAAAAAGGTTAGACGGGTAACGGCGGTGGTGGCGGTGGTGACGACGGCGGCAGCGGCGGCGGTGCGCAGGGACGAAAGGCAAAGGAAGAAAAGGGCCACCGCGGGGAGTGCCGCGCAGGCGAGACCTTTCGATCGCAGCCGGAACACGCGGTTTCTTTTTTTTTCGGCGGCGGCAACAACGGCGGTCGTTCCTCGGACTTACACTCGGCTCCCGGGCACACAAAGAACGGACTCAGTCTCAGTGCGAAGCTATTTCGCTAGAACGCACGGAATAGCGAAGCGATAGGTCCGCTCGCTCGGCTGGCCGTTCCCGCGAGCGACCATCCTCCCCTCGCCGTATGCAGCGCGAACGTTGCGCCGCACCGCGATCGGAACGATCGGCGTGGCACGGTGAGTGGCGCGCGGGGACGGAGCGGGGCGATGTTCACGGCGTTCGCATATATGCCGTCCCTCCCGTCTTCACCCTTCACCGCTATTCCCCTCGGCCGCGTCGAGCTGCCACGCGATGAATTGGAGTAACGAAACTTTTTCGCGAAATCGTTACGTTGAGGTATCTAACTCGAGTGTTGCAGTTTTGGATTTCTGCCGGTTATCGAAGCAGTCGTATTGATACGGCTGCTCCGATTACCGCTTCAAAACGTTCGCATTGCTCCCCGAGGAATGTGTCGACGTATTACGGACGGTTCTGATAGAAAATAACGTCTGACGTTTAAGCAACGATTGCGTTCAGTAGAAAAAGTGGCTTCGCAACTGTTGTGAGGTTCTTTAATATGATCGGTATTTAGATCCAGCAAAGAATTAAAGGAAAGAACTAATTATATTAAAGAATCTTACACACACAACTGTTGTAAGATTTTTTTAATATAATTGATTTATACAATGAGATCCAGTGAGGAACTAAGGACAAAATCAAATATGTTAAAGAATTTGATAATAGTTGCAAAACTGTTTTTTTTTTCTGCAGCTAATGATATAAAATTACACGAGGTATCGATGCCACAATCACGAAAGTAACATTAATCGGATCCCTAATGAAGATTACGTAAAATTACTTAGCGTATTCGCAGCTCCAAATCGAAGTCCGCTGCTGCGCGCTTTATCTTCCGCCATACCGATCTTAATCTCTCACCCTCTCTCCCTTTCCTCTCGATCCTCTCACCTTCTCCTACCATTCTTCTGCCTTTCTCATTCTCTCTCCCTCTCTCCTACTACAATTCCCCCTTCTTTTCCTCCCATGTCCTCGCCATTTTCCTCTCACCCCCCTGCCCTTCTCTTTCTCTCCCATCAATAAGAGAATTCTCAACGTATATCGCACGCAAATAATCTGTTATGATGACGGACGATCCGTAAAAATCTCGCGCGAGGTCGCGCGCTTCATTCAAATTTAGCATTACTGTCACCTGCGATTCCGCATCCGCGCGGGGCTACATTATTTCCGTACGGCTTGCCGACTTAAACGGGAAGCCATCCGAGAATAATTTCCGACGCGTTACCGCTACGGTGCGCAACCAAACAGGCGGATCTTTCCATCGCGAGAGACGGAACTGCAAACTTTACCGTACAATCTTGGAAGAGCAAACTGTTAAATTGATAATGTCAAATTATACGCAATTTGAGTTTAAACATTTCTACAAATCTGCTTCTACTCAATTTGTCGTTAATTCAACTAAAACGCACAATGGAGTTAATCAATTTAAAATAAGAATAATAAGAGGCTCCAGAGAATAACCAACACTAGATATTCGTGGGCTAATTCAAATTTATTGAATAACAAATTAATTAAACGGTTCGACTCCTCACTTTTGGGTCATCGTCATAATTAACAGAAACGAAAATATGTCCAAAATTATTACATGGAGAATGTTAAAATAGAGCAAGTCACGTTGAGGTCTATAAGATGTAATGTGTCATACACACACACAGTATTGATAAATTTTTTGAAAAATAGACTTTCAGTGGGATCTCGTCAATTTAATTTATTAGTCAAATTAAGTCCGTGCAATCTCTTTTTGATTGAAATAGCTTAACGTCTTAACTAATGCGAATAAGTAATTTAATTTTTAAAAATGTATTAAGTTTGACTCAAATTTAACAGATTGGATGCCATTGCTTTTTTGATATCTAATAGTGCAAAAAATGCTCTAAAAATACGAAGCGTCCATAGACAAACAAAATACGACCTCCCTAAATGTAGAAACTTCAAAGGATTTATTAAAAATAATAAATTCCACTTACACATGTTTAATGTTTTAGCAAACCTTTTCGTTAAAAAACCTACTTGCGATTTTCAAAGCACTGCGTGAAAATGTAACGTTAAACGTGTGTTTAATTAGCGCGACGAGTTCCGCACTCGGAAATAAGTAGTTAGCGTTCTCGACTGTTGGGCATTTAAAAGAGAATGTATAATCATCCGCGAAACATTCAGGCCTCTTCAACCACGGGCATCTATAGTCGTGTTAAGCAGCTTCCGTTGATCGGCGAGTCCCAGAAAAGGGACATCGCGAACATTTGAGAGCAGAGATTCGTAATATCTTGGCATTTTCGAAATTAAATAGCAGTATAAGAGATAGAACACAGAACCAAGCTACAGATAACATCAAGTAAACATCGTTTTAAGAAAAACCATAATAATGTTATTCAATATACTTATGACGATGATTTTGTGATGAATTCTTGACATAACAGTGATTTTTATTAAATAACACTATAATAATTTTCCTAAAATGACTTTTACCTGATCTGCATCTCTCTTGATCTTATTATGATTTTTTAAATGATTTTATTATTATGATTTATTATTTTATTATTTATTATTATTATCATTACTATTATGATTTATTTTATTCTACCTGGATATGGTTTACTTTATATTTACGCTGTTGGATATTACAGGAATACAATGATAATCCAGTCCCTTAAGTTAAACATAACATTTTGCTATTTTTCACTTCCATGTGTCAAAATGTAAATCAATCCATTTCTGCGGTCAGTTTCAAAGTAAATATTGTCAAAGTAAATATCGTCCATATCACTTAAGGTAATAAATAATAAACTAAATTTGACTGAAATTTGATACGCTTTCTTTAATTAAATCGTTTAACTCCATTATTTTAATTCGATAAACGACTATTGAGTAGGAGCAATGGCGACCTGTAGAAATAATTAAAAATCACTCAGAGTGATTGGGTATAATTTGACATTATAACAGTGAATTAAACAGTGTACTTTATACTATGCTAGATTTGTTCGTTGAGTTTCACAGTATAGGAAGGATACAGAAATGCGTGAGGCTTTTAACAGAACACCGTCGTACATTGCCAATCGATCTGCCAATCTGCTATCTAATCTAACAGTTCACACAAAGAAACCCTCTAATAAAACATGCTGTCGTGTATTTTTATTGGTGGCCGAAGGACGTTCCAGAAAATATGATTGAACGCATATCTCTATGTGTAAAAAGCATGTAAAAATTCACGCGACAATCGCGCGATATTATTTCCAATTTTCT